GTAGTTTCCATTTCGTCTGGAAGCTCAATTTGATTTACATTGCAGAACATTTCCTCTGAACAAGTTCATTTGGAGTCACTTCATGCATATTTTAGCATTCGTGAATGAATCGGTGCTTGTAATTGGTTATGTATAATTGCATTTTGTCTTACATAATTAAATTTTTAAAAAGGTCATAGTCTGATGTAAAAGCTGGAAAATTGTGTACATTATAATGACAGTACTTTAAATACGGATGCAAATGTTGGTAAATTATTTACGTCTATAAATTGTTGATTATATACATGCACTTCAAATTCATGGTTTTACCAAATTTTGTGGCAAGCAGATAAAAATTGTTTAATCTTTTACATAATTATTGAACTTGTATGCTATTTATAGTACAAATCTTCTTTTGTCTCTTCGTAAACGTATAAACATGTATAGTAACTGAAATAATTAAAACAACATTTTAACATTGCTAAAGTTTTTCAAACTAATTGCTTCAAATACTGAATGAGATTATATGTAGATGATTACATACATATAAAAAATATCACGCAATATCGCAACTACAATAAAATTGTGAAAAAAGGAATAGTTCAATAAATGGAAGTTGAAGAGAAAAAATAAATTGTTTTATAGACTATACAATTCTGATAACTGTCGAGTATTTACCCCTAATACTTTATATATTTCATTATGAATTTTTGCATTATCATTTCTTTAATACTAGTTGAAATCAAAGCAAAAGATTGAAAATTTTATTTTTGATAAGGGTATAAATGATTAAAGTTTAATTATGCAATTTTCACGTGTCTATGTTGCTTATCACAGTACATTTGTCCTCATTTGGCTTTGGGATATTATGTTATCAACGTGAATTGACATATCCGAGTAAGGTATCAATCAAGCACCGTGATCGTGCTTGACACCGTCATCGTCCTGACAGCTGTGTTTACGTTGCCTTGTAATCCGTAGATTCCTACAGCAATACACAGGATGTCGACGGATTTATTAGTCAGCGTTTGTCTCGTAAATAGTAGACCTAAGGAAACAATGAAAGAGGAAAAAGTGGTATTGTTTTTGGTAAGCAACGCAATAATACTTACATACGAATTTGTTACGCATACATTATTTAGAAAAACAGTCTCATCACGGATTTCAATGAGTTAGAAATATATTATTAAAGTAATTTTTCTTGTCCTGAAGTCATTTTCCTATACTCCAATAATGTTCTATATACACAAAAACATTTGTATCGGTATAGATTTAATGTTAGACATATTTGTAGAGTTTTGATTACATTTAAAGTATATGAAGGTTAGATAATAGTTGTACTGAGAATTAATAACAAAGAAGGTAATAATAATTTATGATTATCAAATTTAATAGTAATGGAACGCTGACCGTCTTATTTTGATCAGATTTGTTCACCTAACCGAAATATAATTTATATTAACATAAATATGACCTACAAAGTGCAACATGTAATATTTTATATAATTTTAAAACATTCGGTTGTTTTAATATCAAAATTCAAGAATTTTTGACAGAATTAAGATGGAACGATACATTTTTTAAAAAGCTGAAATGTTGTACAAAAGTAATCAAGTTTCTCTAGGTTAAAACTTATTTATCATACTATTTGTGTATTTTCCCTTATTCAACAACATTCCAGTTTTAATTTAAAAAAGGATTGTTGCTGTATTTCAATTCTATCCAATGTTCTTTGATTTTTACATAAAAATGAACAAACGTTCTCATTAAGCGGCGATTATGTGTATAGAAAAAATTTGGTTAGAATGATGTTCTTGACAACAGACGTTAAGGTCATTTAAGTCAATGAGAAAATCAGATCTCTTTCAATTTCCAATGTTCCTTGCGAATAATTCAGACGTTAAGGTCAAAAGGTGAATATACGTATATCTAGGAGAAAGTTTTTTTTTAAATGATGATCGTAATAATATATTTCCAGGTTGTCACAATCGAAAATGAGGTCCCGTTTACAAATAATTACGCACTATTTTTAAAGAACGAAGATAATTTTTTATTTTGTTAATGAAATGCTTTAGATTTTTATATCACATGAAAGGGAATATTAAAATTAATTAAACGATGTACCACATAAGGGTTTCGATGTCGCTCGTTGTAGGTTTTGCAAAAATCCATTGAGTTTTGATTGGTAGATTCTTTGTGCCGACTAATTTTCTAAACTAAACTAGCTGGAAGGATCACTTTCTCAAAAAAGAAGGACTATCAATTTTAGGAGTTCAAACGAAAACTGCTGCTTAACATTATTTCTACCGAAGGTTTCAAAAGACAACTTTCGACTTTTTAACTTAAAATTATTTTCCACGTGTTGTCGTATATTCTGAATTGACTTTTCGACTATTCTAACGACGATTATAAAATTAGCTGTAGGAAATGTACAAAATTCAATTGAGACAAAATGATTAAACTGAAAAAATAATTTTAAATTAAAATTTCAAAAGGTGTCTTTCGACACTTTCGATAGAAATAGTCTTAATGACGACTGTGTTCTATATGCCTTGCTTCGTGACCGGTTTTAACCAAAACGTTTTGTACTGTGTCGATCGACTTCTTGATATAAACTGTCTAGAAAACATTTAAAATGCAGCTAGAGAGGGTGCTTGACCCCCTTCACTGGGAATAAACGAAGTAGCAACCACCTAGATTTCCTCGAGGCGCGGTCAACTCACTCCCGACTAAACGAAAGTGTTGAACAATAATAACGATCTTCGTGCCTACGATACATCTGGTTGCCTCCAGGGTTTTAAAAAATAATGAAGAGTGAAAGTTAATAGGCCTGGCAAAGAGGAAGTACAAGTATCTGAGTCTAAACGGTCGAAAAATTTAAATGTCTGTCAAACATGATCGCGTATTTAAGTACTTACGTGTCAAAATCCCGGTCACCGACGACTTAGACATACTCCCCGCCTTAACCCTATGCTCTACGATTTATTTTTCAACCGTACTTGATAAAACAACTTTATTGTTCATAATTTAGTAGAAAAAGACAAGAACTTTATACTCATTCTGCGTCTTCGTTTACTGCAACTGTCAAAGATTGATAACAGACGAGTAATATTTAATTTCCGTTAAAAATAAATAAATTACATTTACATTTGTTGAAATTACACATATAGCGCCGAGTATTATATGTAAAATTAGTGTGCAGTTTAATAATATAATTGGTTATTGCTCACACACGGAATTCACGGCGGACGTGATCGGATTCTTGCGACGTCCACGAGGATCGTAAACGCCCATGTCATCACGATTCGCGTGGTTCCTTACGAACTGTTAATTTGGTAAGGATGGTTGTGTTCGAAAAAAATTGGGCGAAATGAGCGGAGTGTGAATACTACGATGCGTAAATGTTTACAAAATTGTAAGCCCACGAGAACGATTGCGGCAAAAAAGTATATGGTCACACTGTCGACTGCGCGCATGTTAAATGACGACTGCTCTGATTGTTCGTCACAAAAAGCAGAGATGAAAGCGTTTTTCGCGATTTCCAAGCGTATTGGATCAGTTTTGAAATTTGATTAAAAATGTTGTTTTCTTTCGTTCATTTAACTTTATGTCAATTTCTATATTGCCTGATTATTCAGTTTTTCAATGTTTGGTTTTTCTTTTATTTCTGTTTTTACTAAGGAAACTGTATCTAATTTATTTACCTTTGTTTTCTAACCAGTGATTTTACTACTTACGGTAGAACTAAGTACCTATATATAAGGTACGTATACTGTTAACCAATTAACTAAATTTGACGAATGTACATGTTATCTTAAAACTCTAAATGGTGCTAACTTCTTTAACGACAAACTATTTATTTTTTTTTAGACAGATATGTAATTCTCCTTTTTTCGCTTTAGTTTATCGTTATAACATATTCTAAGTGCATTTGGCCTGTATTTAATAAGTATACACATCATTACTTGATTTTATTGCGTGTACGATAAGAGATTTTTTAAACTAAATTTCTAACGGGTTAAAAAGGGAATTTTCCCATTGGCAAATAATTTGGTGTGCAAGGATGTTGTTCTTATGTGCGCGAGTTACTGTGGGCTAGGCGATCTAGCGAAAGAAGGGTTGCCGCGGTCTACTTAAGAGGTAGCGGACGTCCGAGCCTATGCTGTGCGTAAAGCAGGTAGATTTTTATTTTACGGAGTAACACTACATAGGTTTCTAATAAGTAGCTTCATCGATATTGATCGAGTTCATTCTGCAATGATTAAGATGAGGCAATTTCTACGTAGTGGTTTCGTGATATAAATTTCTACGACAAGGACAAATGAAATACGAAAACAACTCGAAAAAACAACAATTATCTTAATCTTTCTTTCGAGTTTTACGACTGGCAATGAATGTTTCCAAAGAGAACTGGCGGTTTCTTATCCACTGAAACTTCTAATTTACTAATCAAGTTGATGTATTGCAACTCTAAGAAAGTATTTCAGTTGTCAATAATTCCTCTGCGGTTAGGGATTTAAATTTCTAATTGCACTCCCACTGTAGGTGTCTTAATAAATATTACTATGATTTTAAAATACTATAATATATTGATATTCGTATATCAATTGTTTAGTGTGTGTAGTTTCGTAACTACGATAGATATCAAAGTACTCTAAACCAAGAATCCAAAAGTTGAACATGGAAACTCTGAAATATAATGGTGACAAGTTAAAATGCAAGAGTCGAATTGTATCTGACGGACAAAACGGACGTGTCAGTAGGCACCCATGCTCGTTTGCCTCGTTCCAGATATATTTTCTGCTGCTGGTTGAGGCACTTGCGGTGTTTGGCCCGATAGTAATGGCGGAACTGGTTTCGGCACGGTTTGTTACTGGCTGAGCCGCAAGCTAAGGTGGAGCATGTGGCCGAGACCCCTTGCCCCTCTTCACTTTTGAGCCACAGGCCAGCTTGATTCACGTGACTAACATTCACGTGAGTATATACTACGATATCTAAACTACGTTAAAGTATACATTTACCGTTATAGCAGAATGATCCTGAAGGATTTTCAGGAGGCGCATTGTAGTTGCATGTCGCCATACAGGAAATGTAGGAGCAAGTTCATCTCAATTGCAATCTACGAAAAAAATATACAGTTCGTTACTAAATGTACAATTGATTATTACTTTGAGATAATAAAGTTATTAATTACTATTAATAATTATAATCAAGCTGTTGCAATTCCTGTTGGCAGTTCTATTAATCTGTTGGTAAACTAAAAACATATATTATATGATTTATGTTCACATTATATATAGCATAGACGGAATTGCACGCCTAGCGAAAAAAATCGTAATTATTACTTCTAATTGGATATTTTATGAAGTAAATCTTCTTTTGCCTCAGTGATTATTAAAACAAAATAACAAAATACATGTTTAGCCTAATGGGTAATTTTAGATAAAAGGTTTAAAAATATCGATTTCTTTTTCATTTTTCCGAAATGTGAACCTTCAGGAAGATTTTGTTAAATGGCCTCTTTCAAATATATTTGTTACGACTCACAACCATGATCAGGAATCCACTCTGAACGATTTAGGAAGGTTTAATAACTACTTCATAATAGTAATAGCTACATACTTCGAGCTTTGATATTTATAATCGTAAAAGTAGTGTTCTTTTTTCTAGTATTTAAAACAGTAATACATTATTCAGTTTTTATGGGGAGAGTTTTTAAAAGTTAAAAAACTCCCTCTTTGCAAAGAAGTAATCTTTTTCACTACTTTGTCAAGTGTAAGTCAACATCAGTTTTATTCACAAATGTTTAAATATCGAGTTACGCGCGACATTTTGTAAATAACATTATATTATTTTCAATATTATTAATAAAAACATGTTTTTATTGCTTCCTATCAGCTAAGCATAAGAGAGTAATGGAAATCTTTTGTATTAATAAATTTTTGGAAATCGTCAACTGTAAAGCGATTTGTTCCTTCAATGAAGTCTTCAAACACCTTTTAAAACGAATGGAGGTCATGGATGTAACCATTAAATGACAAGCTAAGAAGCTTTTGCATAAGCGAAACTCATCGCGCGTCATTAGCGCTAACAGCGGTATCAAGGAATCAAAAGAAACTAAGATGGTACGTAAAAAGGACCCAGTAATAAATGACGCGTGTAAGTTATCTGAAGGCCATTTTTAAGAACACGATAAGATCGATTAGTTATAAGCAGGGATTGGAAAGGTTTTGAAAATAACTGTTTGAAATTATTATATATCGGTTCTGACTGAAACAGTTATGAAAAACCGAAATAAGTTATAATTTTTTAACACTCTACATACTTATAACCACGGATTGAAAACATTTAAGAATTGAAACCGATATCATAACTATTTTCAATCCGTGGTTATAAATATATAGAGTGTTAAAAACATATGGCACACAAACGAAAAGACGTATAGAATTCACTAATCCGAGTAAAAACAAATTTCCACGGTGTCCGAGATAAAAATAGGTTTTGTTTCAACAACTGAGTTCTATACACCCTTTCACTTGTGCGTCATCATTTTTAATATCCTATACATTGTGTACAAAAATCTGAACTATTTCAAAACTTACATTTATTTCGAAACATTTTCCTTCAACCGGTGTTATTAAGCACAAAATTTAACCAGCCGAAATTTTAATATGTTTTCCAACATACTATTGGTTATGATCAGTGCCATAATTAGATTTTTATATTAAAAATTTCGTTTTATTTCTTTTATAATTTTTTAATTTACCTCTTTTAAACTCATAATCACAAACAATAATGACTTTTATGAAAATTAGGAATCCTTTTTATTCATTTATTTGCTTGTTTGCTCCAAATGGTGTACGTAACAAATCAATACTACCGCTAGTAATCAATAAAAATATATCCTTATAATTTTCTCTATCTATAGGTATCTTAAAATACCTTGTTAGGTTCATGATTCTGGATAATTTTTTCCTATAGATATCTATTAACGCTATTCGGCCCTAGTTTTCGAGATGTACATACATAAAAGTATAAAAGTATTTTCAACACTATGTAATTAATAAATAATGTATTATGTATTTAATAAATAGTGCGTAATAAATGTTAATAAATAATGATAGTTGTGTAATAAATAGCAATAGTCTATAATGTTTTATATATTAATAACTAAATTACTATCTACATTTATATATAAAAAACAAACAATAATATTTAATTAGAAATTTGATCGGTGAGAATTGAATATACGCCGTACGCGAATCATTGGATACTAATATCATTTTGGGTTTCGCATTTATGGAAGCATAATGAAATTGCAGCTATCGGGTTGGAGGAAATACACATTCTGGGGTGGGCATTGCAATTAATCTGCCACATGCTGTGTAATTTTAATGGGATAACTATCATGCCATGTTTCAAAATGAATACTCCCCGGGTAGTCAGCGCAGTGAATCTCACGTACGTTTAATCTTGTTAAAACATGTGTGATTAAAGCAGATCATTTTATAAATACACAACACAATAATGTTGTATGAGAACATTTGTCATTTATCATGTATCATTTTCAGTATTGCTTTATCTTTTCTTCATCCATGTTTGATCATAGGAGGTACATAAAGTTAATACTAATACCTGAATTCTTTAACGAATAAAATTTAAAAATAGTTTGACATTCACAAACACACTGCCACTAAGGGTGGATATATTTCATTTGAAATGAGAATAGTAAATGAAGAAAACAAAGAATTACCGTAACGAAAAGAACAATTCAGATTATTTGAATATAAGGATGTGTATAAATAAATTTCAAAATTGTATTTAAAGAAATGAATAGTTATAAAATGATTTATTTGGTAAACATATATTTATTAAAATAATGATTTAAAATAAAGATAATAATATTTCTAATATAATAAATATATATATTCTACCTGACCACGGAACATAAATATTTGTGTTAAAAGTAAATGTTGTCAATGATAAATATTCATAGTTATGGCATACATTTTTTCGCATTATAGAAAATAACGTTTAGCTTGTAAATCAGGTAAATATTTCTTGAATTAAAATAATTTATTTTTAAAATACATTATTTTTCAAGTAACATTAACTACGATAAAATATACTGAATAAAAAGTAAAATACAAATTTTATTTATATAACTATTTGTATTAGTCTTTATTTCGATAATCCTCACTTCTGATTGTAAATATCCATTGAGCTATTGTAACTGCTGAAATACGAAATGCATGAACAGATACGTGCTTTGAAAATGTATTTACATTGTTATGTATTCCTAAAGAACAAAAGACAATTTATTTGTAGAATTCTTCTTGGAAAGAGTCCATACTCAACTATTTAATACCCTCTCTTTCAGGTCAATCCCCGATCTTCACTGAAAAAACTCGTGAAGGAAGTGTCCTCGGTTAGGTCAAGATCTGGAGAATACTTGACGACGTATCGATGCTGTCGAAGATTGGGGTCACTGGAGATTGCTACGTTGCCGTTGATTTCTATGTTTCAATTATTTCCGTTTTTACCGAGTACGTGAAAATATTCCACCGGATACTCACTCTATATCCGGAAATCGAAAAAATAGGACTTCGATCTATATGTACACTACTATTTAAAATTTGCTGTCAATGTTCCCGATTTATGAAAGAAAATACAATAAAAAATAATTTAGATTATTGTTTCTTAACATTAAGAGGGTTATTAAAAATTACGTTTACTGTACCCTTTCCACTATTCCATATTTAAATAATAATATGTTACATTATTTTTTATGTAGTAAAAATCAATATCTCGACCAGGTTTTCAAACTATGTTGTATCTTTTAATTATGGTTATTAGGTTTCCACGTGCAAATCCTTGTTAACAAAAACATAACTTACTTCAACAAAGAAAATATAAAATAGACAGAAGCGATAATTTAACATAAAAATTAATCAATATTCAACAATTTTGTTATTTTTCCATGCATTAATTTAAAATATATGAAGTGTCAAAGTCTGACTTAAAAAAAATTTCATTAATTATATTAACGTCACAAATTAGAAATTAATTATCTCATAAATATATAAAATAAAAGAACAAAAATTATATATTTTTATATTTGACTAATGCATATATATCCATGTTCCTTTATCATACATAACAATTCTGCAATAAAAATTGTTGATAAAATGCGAAAGTTTTCTTTTAACCGATTTATTGGTCCTAAAATTTTAACCCACAATGTATATATAAGCTAATGATACAGTAAGACAGTAAACTCAGCAGTAACATTAAACTGACAATGAAATTTTTATACAGTAATCAGTAAATATTAGTAATTAAAGTGAGACTTCTTTATACCATGAAAAACAGTTCCCTTTAAATTAATTTTCCTTTCAACCGATTCTTGAAAAGGACGATCCTAAACCCCAAGATTCTTATTAACTCGTTTGGGTAGACAAATATTTTTTATGAATTCATTATGTTTACTATTTTAGTACATCGTACATTCTAATTAAATTAATTTTAATGAATAATTTATAAGAAAAATTGTACCTAGAGGTATTTTATATAAATATCGATCTAGATATTTGTCATATACATACAACACATTTGATAGTACTATAACTTCATATTTAAAATGTACTATAACTCGATGTACAGGGTGTTTTGAAATTTTAGGACACAAATGATAGGGTGTATACAATTCAGTGAATTGAATAAACAAGTCCCAGTAAACATGAGTCGAAAACTCAATAGTCTCCAAGGTAAAAACAGGTTTTCTTTTTAAAAAAAGGTGTGTGGAGACAGAATCAAGAACATTGAATTATTTGAGAAAAGTATCAGTGATACAAACAGATGTGTCAAACAAAAGTCACAAGATACATATCACGACGGGAGGTATTTTGCCGTAACGTAACTTTGAAGCGTTCTGCAAATGTCACGTCACAATTTTTACATAGAGTCCTAGTTTCTGTTTCGTATTTCTGAAGTCCACGTTCAGACATTTCCAAACCATAAAAATGAAATTTTTTTGCGTAAGCGCGTTATTGAGATAACATCAAAGTTGCCAGTTCGCCAGTAGAAACACCCTATATATTTAAGCATCAGCTACATGAA